GAGCAAGGAGCCCAATGTGGGGCTCGATCCCAGGACCCTGGGATCATGACCTGAGCCGAAGGCAGACGCTTAACGACTGAGCCACCCAGGTGCCCCCCCATACATATTTTAAAACTTCTCTTATATCTACTCACTATTTAACAAAAACAAAATAAAAAAAGATAAGATAAATTAAATGATAAAAAACACCCTCTAATATTTTTTCTCCACACCTCAGGGGGTCATGCTGCACACTCCCAGGGTATAGGTATACCCAACTTTGGAGACCACTTTATTATAATATAATATTTGTATTGTGCTTTTATATTATTATCATATACACAATTGACACATATTATTTATATCTAAAATTATAGAAATAATTGGATCATTATATCATATGATATATATCACATATATTCATGACCCGAAATAGCATATTGTGTACTATTATATTATATATCATATGATATAATGATCTAATTATTTCTATAATAATTTTTATAATGCACTACTATATTATAACCTTTTTATTCTAAAGGATGAGGCTTAAAAAGGAGTGTTTGTAGACTGAGAGCGAAGTAGGGGATGGGAGGTCGAGCTCGGCTCTCACAGTGGTGCGAGAAACGCTGTAGTCACTCACCCATTGAGGTGTTGCCCGAGATGAGAGGGGCTTCAGGATGTTTGGCTTTCAGCTCCAGGAGATCCTTGAGGGTGCCAGGAGAAATCCAGGTAACCCTCTCTCCACAAAAGGTCAGGGTTTGTTTTTCTGGCTTCTCTGTCATTCTCTAAGTGCAAAGGACAAGTGTGTCTGCACATGGGCACACCTGCCTTCCAGGTTCCCCGAGGGAGGTATATTCCTCTAGAGAGACTGCAGGAGTCCCGGCGTCCACTTGACTGAAAAGACTCACTACACTCATTGACTAATGCCTGTATTTCCATAATTAGATATTCACTTCTTTAACTTAAGACTTGTTAATATATGTAGTTCTTGGCAGGCAAGTGATGATATAGGTTGGCACCTGTCAATGATACTTCATTATAGATCAATTGAACACAATTCAGTATCATGGTCTTAAAAATCATAATTATACTAATAATCCTAAATTAACATCATCAGCCTGGACTTTTCCTCTGAAATCCAAACTCATAGATCTGAATGAGAACTTGATGTCTCCTCTGAGATGTTTAATAGACATCTCAGATTTAACATATCCCAAACTGAGCTCCTCATACCCCATCCTTTCTGAAGCCCCCAAAAAGGATCCCCCACCAAAAAAATACCCTGCTCTTCCTGAGGTCTTCCTCTTCTCTGTCAATGGCCACTGCCCTTTCCAGCTGTCCAAAGTCCCAGAGTCAGCCTTGATCTCTCTCTCTCCCATACCCCACATCACATCCAGCAGCAAATCCTGTTGGTTCTCCTTCAAAATATATCCAGAATCCACTCTCTTCTCGGCTACATGCTGGCAGCCTGGTCCAGCACCACCATCTCTCAGGATAGATCTACCACCCTGACGAGGCTCGCTGTTCCTTCCTGGGCCTCTCGCCAGGCTATTCCCATCCCAGCAGCCAGAACTATCCCAGATCCCATTACAACATTAATAGGAACCTGCCCCTCCCCTGTCCAACCTCCCTAATCATTTCTCATTTCTCACGGGGTAAAAGTCAGCAGCCTAAGTCCTTGTGGTCTGTTCCCCAGTGGCTTTCCGACCTCATTCACTGTGCTCCAGCCAGGCTGCACCTTGCTCTGCCCCTTGGTCAGGGCAGGTGCTCTCCTACCCTTGACCCCTTTGCACCTGCTGTGTGCACTGCCTGGACTGCTTTTCCCCTACGGTCGAGGCTGCTCCCTCACTTCTGGTGAACTTTTTTCAAATGTTACTTTCTCAGAGAAATCTTCTCTGGTCAGTGTTCCAGCCCCCTTCTCAGTTTTATTTTTTTCCTTCTTACCACTTCTCATTAGCTAACATGCTGTATCTCTTATCTATCATCTTGCTTATTACCTGTCTCTCCTACCAGATGACAACCCCCTGTGGGTAGGTTTTTGTGTTAGTTTTGTTCCTTGCTCTATATTTAGTACCTAGAACAGTGCCTGGCATGTTGGTGGATGATTGATATTTGTTGAATGAGTGAATAAACACATCAGAACCCCTTCAGAAATAGGTATTTTATAGAATGGGACCACTAGATGCCAGAGAGGAGAGAGAGATGCTGATGGAGGGAAGGGTAGGTCATAGGGAGGGCCCTGGAAGTGCTTCTTGGGGTCAATGTACTAGTGTGGCTGCAAGACCAAGTTAGAAGCTGAGCAAAGCTGGATGGCTGGGACAGTCAACAGAGATGCTGCAGATGACAGCGGTGAGCATAGTGACAAAGTCATTCAACAAAGAGCCTCAGCTGAGGCTTCAGGGAGTGTGTCCAGGGCATCAGCCAGGGAGGGCTTGCTGAGCTGGGTGGGGACAGGCTTCTTGATGTGATCAAATATTTCCACAGTTTGACAACTTCGCAGGAAGGAAAGGGTGGTTTTATAAAACTTAGTTTATAACCAGTGACATTTGAACAAACACATAAAGCACCCAACTTGTCTTACCAAGAGTTCTGGGGGAAATATGAGCTCCTGGGTAGGGTCCAAGGGCTGGAACTCGTCTTCTGCAAATAACTCTGTGCAAATCTTTATAAAGGGCAGAAGATGGTCTTGTCAGCCCAGCTAAACCAGAAACAGCATTGTAATTCTTTACATTAATTAGGCAAAATGAACATAGTCATAATTCTCCTACTCTCCTAATATGAGAGTAATGGGAAATAGTTCAAACCAAATCAAAGTTTTAAATAAGAATCTTGTTGTAAGAGAAATACTGATTTGCCCCTGATATGATACTAAGGAAAAGAGTATTCTCTGAAATAGTTCAAAGAGTCCCCTGTGAAACACCAAGACCTTATATGAGAAACTATCAGAGGTCAGTAAGTCTGGCACTCAACTCCACTGGGCCCCAGCCACTGTCCTCTCACCAGTCAGGTCAGGATTCAAAATGCTAAAGGCTCTGAGAAGTCCTGAAGTTTAAATAAAAATGACTCTAGACATACATGCCTATACATAAACCACCCACACTAATTTTAATAACAATAGCTAACATTTATGGAGTGTTACATTCCAAGTGCTTTTACATGTATAATTGTTGTTTAGTCCTCACAACAATTATATAAAGAATGTAAATTATCATCTCCATTTTTACCAATTAGAAAACTAAAGCACAGTGGAAAGTTACCCAAACTCTAATCTTGTCTGAAAGAGATCTGTTTTAGCTTTGGAAACACTTATTCCCAGAAAACATTCCTAAAAAGGTGCAGCAAACTGGGAGAACCATGGGAAGCAGAGCTAGAGGTCTGTGTAGTGGAGAAGAACATGGGTAGACATCAGGGGCAGATCTGGGTTCATTCTCAGCTCTGTCACAACTTGGCACCCTCCCAAAAGAAAGGTACTTAACCTTTCTAAAGATAAATGGAAATAATGTATATTTTGAAGGGTAACTTGTGACAATTAGGTGAAATGGATTGACATTTGTCCAACACTCCCCCTCTTTTTCTGTTTCTCTGGGGTCTTTCCAGGTTCCAGAAGAGAAGCTGTTCCTTATAAAGGCTCTTAGTAAGACCCCAGATTGAGGAATTACAGGCCAACGTCTGAATGATCAGTTTTTGCATTAGCTAGAATTAGAAATGTAGGCGGTACCTGGGGGCAATAATGTGGTATGTCTTTAAAACCTAGGAATAAGCTGGTGTGTGAGAATGAAAATGTAAAAAAAACATAAAAAGTCAGATCTGAGGAATTAAAGTTTCCCCAAACAGGTGTTAGGCCAGGGCTTAATAGCTGGTCCAATAATAGAAGATCTTAACATAGCTTTAAGAGAAGGAACAGTCATGGGGCAGACCCCTGCCATCCAGCTGGTCTACCCTGATGGAAGAGAGGGGTCTTCTGTGGTATTACCCTTAAGATTATCCAATTGCTCTGCATCCATGTTCACCAAGCAACCTCATTATAATGGAGCTTCCTATGTGTGTTTTCCTATAGGGAAAGGACATGCAGCTCAGTTACCATTAAGATCCACTTTATAATTGGGTTTCTGTAAATGAATATTAGGGCACATTCCAGTTTAAATATCATGTTCTTTTGAGTTTGGTTAAAGTGAGTCAGATGGTCCCCAGAGCCCAGTCATTGCCCAGATGGACTTCCCAAGGCCACAAAATTGAGGATAATTGAATGTATTGACCCCTCTGAGGCACACTGATCCTCTGTGAAGTGTTCATGGAGGGTGCAGCCTACCTTCTTTGGCAATAACCCTCTATTCCACTGCACATCTTCAGACCAAAATGAGGTGACAGTGGGAGGCCGAGAATGGGAACAAGGTAGGTGTGCGGGATAGAAATAGATACAGCAGGGGGATGATGGGCTCGGTTTTGTCTAAGGGCAGCTCTGTTCTCTCAGATTTCCTTGTCTACGGGGAGCGGACCCTATTTTATCCTTATTCCTTGGACAGGCTCCCTTCCTGAGGTTGCAGTGCCCTGTCTCTGCAAAGCAGGGGACGTGGTGATAGAGGACAGCTCTGCCTGAGTGGGACCAGGCACAAAACCCCCTTCCCACCCAAGGATGGGACTCATCAGAGTTGGGGCAGGTCTTTTCCTCTTGTCTGAGTGGGTTTATGTTTTCTCGTTTCATCCCTCCAGAGACTGAAGGGGAAAATCAGAGGCTGGCTTTGAATCACCCCGTTATCAGGTTCCAAATGAAAAGTGCTTTATTCATGCATGTGCTCTGGAGATTTGAAAGTAATGCAGCATACGACCATCAACACTTAACAAGCGAAGTTTTAACACGGGGCCAGCATTAAGCAATACTCTCAGGGAGAGGACGAAACAAACAGGGACTCACGTCACTTTCCCTGCGGAGTGAGGAAGAATCATTTCCTCCAGGATCCAAGCAGCATTTTCCTGTTCCTTTCTGTTGACAGCCATTTGACTCCTAGGACAGTGAAATGCCTTTAGATGAAAAACTTTTTATTTATTTATTTTTATTT